CGCTCGCTCGGCAACCGCGGATGGGCTGCCGTCGCTGCGGGATCGGGCCGCTCCTCGCCCGTGGCGGCAGCAGCCGACGCATGGGGAGGGCCCACCGCGGCCAACGCCGGTGCGGCTGGCCCGACGGCCGCGCGGGTGATCCCGAACCCGAACGCGCCACAGAGGTCAACGGGCGCTCCGCAGCCGCCGCAGCAGCCAATGTCGCAGCCCGCATCGGCTGCACAGTCGCCCAAGATGCCAGAATCTGCCATCCCCGAGAGCTGGGAAGACGACGACGACGAGTAAAGACGGTAGAGGCGCGGACCATTCCACGAGCATCGCATGCCCCGACGACAATTCTTCGGCTTGCCCCATCTGTAGCCGTAGCCGAACCACAGAGTTGTCCTTCGAGCATCGCTTCTGCATACCCGCAAAGAAGGCCGTTCGTTGACGCACTCTTTGAGCCAGGGGTGGTATGATTCTCGAGCGGCTGAGGTCGGACTACAGCCTTTCTGGAGCCCCTGGAACGCGCCATGGGACCGGGGGAGGGTTCGGCAGAGCGCCGAGCGGGCTCGGGCGGTAGCGGGCGCGAAAAATGCAGCGGGGCGAAATTGCCTCGCCTCAGACCTCGCTCTCGGTGTCCCTGGCACGTTGGGTGGGCGCGACTTCAGTCGACCTCTATCGTAGCCAGGTCCAGACCGCGGCTGAAGGTGATGAGCGCAACGACGTCGTGGTGCACGATACGATACGTTACCGGTACCACAATTGTCGACATTCCGGGGGGGTTCACTCATCGCTGATGGGGATGACGAGGTCGCCGTTCGTTTGGCACGTTCGGTGGGCAGAGCCCGCTGGAGGGGGCGTGCGTGGGCGGAGTACGTGAAGAGGCAGGCAGGTTCGGTCGGGAACGTGGCCATGGAAGCTGGCGCGACGGCGACAGAAGCCAGGCCAAGCCAGGCCAGGCCAGGCCAGGCCAGGGAGGCTTCCTAGCCCCTCCAGGCCGGCTAGGCGGGGAGCTTTGGGAGGAAATGGCCCGCGGCAGATGTGGAAATTTTTTGGCAAAAAGGGTCTGGTCGGGCTGTCAGCCTATGCGCGCGTGCGTGCGTGCGTGCGTAGGTGGCCGTCCATATCTGGGCCGCCACGGCGCCGCCTCCTCGCCGAGCCTGGCTATACCTGCCCCAGCCTGTATGGCTGGCCTGGCCACCCCTCGTCGCTCTGGCCACTTGGTTGAGCCGTGCCAAAGTAGGCGGGGGCTCAAGCCTCCTAGCCTCCTCCTCCTCCTCGAGCTCTGATCGGATCCTCAGCATCCCACCACCACCACCACCGACGACCGCCACCGCTCACCATCGCAGCTCCCCACACCACAGCTCGCTTGCAAGATGCCGCCGCCCTCGCCCTCGTCCTCGTCCTCGTCCTTGTCCTCGCCGCTCCTGGTCCGCCTGCTCGACGGCGCGCAGCACATGACGCTCAACGTGCTGGGCCACATGCTCACCATGTCGTGCCTCGTCCCCGCCCTCGCGCTCGCGCTGCTCCCAGAGCACTGGAAGCAGACCCGCCTCGTCGGCCTCATCTCGCAGCGTACGTCATCGTCGTGGCCGTCGCCCCCGTGCCGCCCTCAGGCTGAGCTGACGACTCTACACGATCCTTTGGGCAAACAGTGCAATGGGACGCGCACGATTGGCTCGAGGAGATGGAGCTACACCGCCTCAGCACCAGGCTCCACGTCGCCGAAGCGGAAACGTGAGTGGTAGCCACAGCGCGCTGCCTAGCCCGCGCCTCCTTATCTCGCGCGAACCCCCCGCCTCCTTATCTCTCCGGCAACACCGCGGGCAGGACGCGCTATGTAGCATGAGACCGGCGCTGACTTTCGCCTTATCTCCCCCCCGTCCGGCTTTCCATCTCCTCGGCCGGCCCTTATCGCACCCCCGCACAACACCAGACCCAGCAAAGGCACCACGCCAACCTCCGTTCCACAAAGCAAGGTCGAGGAACGCACCAGCGCAACTCTCGACCTCGCTGCCCCCGCCACGCTCGTGCCCATGCCCTCGCCCTCGCCCACACCGAGCGAGGACAAGCAGCGTCCGCAGCAGCGCAGACACGGGTTCCCCCTCCTCAACACCAAACACCGTCCCGTTTCGCCCGGTAGCCTCGTCGCGGCCGCCGCCTAGCGCGGACCGTCCAGCCTAGTCTCTTGCGCCACGGCATCGTCGTCGTCCCGATGGCGGGATGATCTGGTCCCCGTGCCCGTGCCACGTTCCCACCCCCGCCGCCTTCCAAGTTGTTCAATCAGCCGAACTCGAGCCTATCGCTTTTGTCCCCGCCTCGACGAGGCCCTCAAGCCTTCACACTCTTGCCGCCTTTGCTGGCCATTAGGCCCTGGCCGGTCGACGCCTCTTTACTCGGCGGCCGCGGTCTTCTCTTCACGCTCCTCCGACGCATCCGCCTCCTGTATTTGTACCGCCTTGGGCCTTCAGTCGACCTCTCGAAGTCACCTCGCAAGCCACCACGCAATCTCTCTCGACCTGCTCTGAAATCGACCGCGGCTTTCATTTTGGTTGTCCCGCAGATGGCCCGGCTGTGGGATACTGGCGGGGTACGATCGACTGCGGCGAGTGTGGCAGCAGGAACCTGGCTTTGGCCGCACGAAACGGGCGGCTCATCGAAAGAGGATCTTGCCCAGGAGGTCGCCACTGAAGAGAGTCTCAAAGTGGCGCGGCTCGACGACGCGGTAGACGTCGTCGATGACCTCGCCCGTCTCGGTGGCTGCGGCCACCCCGCGGCGTCTGAGCTGCACGCGGTGGTAAGCCAGCGGGTCTCTGGTGCGGATCATGTCAAGCTCCCTGCAGAGGTCGCGGTGCTTTTTGCGCACGACGCGGCACGCCAGGGCGAGGTAGCTGCGGCGCCTCTGACGCGCCGTCTCCGAGGGGCAGGTGGCGACGCTCATGGCGAGCGCATCGAGGAGGTGCCCCGCTTTGCTGAAGAAGGTCCGGCTCCGGCTGTCTCGCCCCGCCTCCTTGCGCTCGCAGACGGTGCAGCAAAAGCAGGCGAAGCGGTCCGGCAGGATGCCGAGCAGCGCCTCGAGGTGCCGGCAGTCGTCGAGCAGGTCCACGATCGCTCGCTCGTAGATCGGGAGGAGGAGTCGCCGCGTGGGCTCCAAGATCGCTTCCAGCGGGTAGTTGCGCACCAGCCAGGCGAACGTGGCCGCCACCGCCTGGAGGCCATACCGACTTGAGGAGTGCTCGAGCGTGTTCCTGGGCAGCTTGACCGAGGCCTGCTTCTTGATGCGGTAGAGGAGCTCCACCTTGACCGCCACCATCGCCTCGAGCAGCGCCACGTGCGTCGATGTGGTCGGGCAGCGCTTCCGCACGGACTTCATCTGATGGTTCAGGTAGTGCCACACGCTCTGACTGTGCAGGCGGATGCACTCAAAGTAGCAGCGGTGCTGATTGAAGATGAAGTCGATCTCTTGGCGGTACCTGTCGCTGTCGCCGCTGCGCGCCGCAAAGCCGTAGGGGAAAAGGTCGAAGTTGTTGGAGATGTCGCCAATATCGACAGAGAGCTCGAAGTTGACCAGGGACGCGCGCGCCAGGGGCGGATCGGAAACCTTTGAGCCGAAGAGGCGCAGCCAGTCGTCGCATCGCTCGGCCAGGTCGTCGCGAAAGGTGGCTCTGCAGTCTTCCGACAGCGCCACGTACGCTGCGCACGCTTCCTTGAGCTCGCGAGCGCGGTCGAGCTGTCGTGGCGTGCAGGCGTCCTGCCCTGCAGCCATCGCTACGGAAGCGGAGCCGGCGCCGTCGGTGGCCCTCTCCCTTGCGGATGGGCCGCGGCCATCGTGCTGGCGGGCGTCGTGGATGGCTGTTTTCCCGACGGTGGACCTCTTGCCAGGGCATTTGTAGCAGGTTGCGTAGCCGGCGGACATTGCACACGCGGCGCGGCGCGGAGGTGGCTCCGACAGTGCCGGTCGCGAAGAGTTTGAGCCGGAAGGCGTCTTCCACGTCTCGTAGATGAGTGTGGGCTTCGATGCGGCATCACCTGCGTCAGGGGAAGGGCCTGCCTTGATGCGAGCTGGTGGCGGCGCAGCGTGTGGCGAGGTAGCGCCGTACATCCTCTCAACCTCGATGGCAGTGGTTGGCTGCGCCAGGGCCCTGTAGTCGAACTTGGCAGGTGGCGATGCGGCTGATGTGGGAGCCTTGCTGGAGGTTGAGCAGGTCGATGAGCCCGTAAGGACAGCCCAAGGGCGCGGGCTGGAGAAGGCAGAGCCCATGGTCGGCCTGAGCTACCGGCGGGCCGCCGGTCCAGCCCGAAGGCCAGATCCTGCAGCTCAAGGCCGTCGTGCTCGGTGATGGTGCAGGGCGGAGTCGATAGGGCGTATGCGGCGTCGTCAGGCGAGCCGATAGAAGTAGACAGTGGGCGACGCTTCGAGCTTGGTCGGATTCCAGAGGCTGCTGGGACATGGAAGCAGGGAGGAGAGGCGGAAAGGCCAGCCCCGAAAATTAAAACAGGCCCGCGAGCGGCTGGAGACCGACGCGCACCACGCGCTGCAGCCTGGAAGGCCAGCCTACGCCCCGCTCGTCTGCGGCCAGGCGAGGAGCAAGCTAGGCCTGGCGCTCTGACAGGCCCGAACCCGCCGATTTCAGCGGCTCGGACGGCATCTTGGCTGGGGCTCGCTGCCAGCCCGGGGAGCGCCCGCTCGAGGCGACGACGCACCGACCACCTCTGGAGGACGCAAGAGCGCGTTTGCCTCGCCACGGCCAGAGCGTGGCCAGGACGAAGCCGAGCCTGACCCAGCCTAGCCAAGCCAGCCAGGAAAACGAGGGACGGCGAGCCGGGCAACGACGCCCGTCGCAACGCCGGTGGGCGAGCCTTTGCTTGTGCTCTGCGCGACATCAGTCCGCCACCTGCCTGCCAGTCGACAGCACGCACTGGGCTCCCCGCCGCAGGCAAACGTTCGCCGCTCTTCCGCAGCTGCGCCGCATGTCCTCTCTCGACCGCGCGATGATTGTCTGCGGACGCACAGACTACGAGTCTAAGGCCTCTCCCGACGTGCTCAGGTTGGTGCCGATGACCCGCGACGACCTTCGGGCTCAGCCACGGCCTCGAGCCAGACGAAGCATCCTCACGCTGCTGGGACTCCTGGTGTCTGTATGCGAGTCCATTGCGATGGGCCATCGCGGCAATAAGAGCATGTGAGGGACGTTCATAGAAAGGTTGCGGGCGGCAAGGGGCGGACGGGAACGCGGCGTATAGCGATAGAAGGTGCAGAGGCGGCGAAGAGAAGATCGGAATGGGCCAGCGGCATGTTGCGCACGCGCGATGAGAAGGTGGTCGAGCCTCGGGCTTAGAGCATAAAGGCACCGGCGGCGGCGATCGCAGCACCGGCAACGGCCAGGTTGACGAGCGAGGCGGGGATGTTGGCAGGGGCCGCGTCAATCGTAGCGTCGCCGTTTCGCACTGCGGTGATGGATGCCTCAATGGCCGACAGGAAGCTCTGCACACGGCAATAGATGAGGAAGCCGTGACGGTGTCAGCCTATGCGCGTCTGTCGTCGTCTGACCGCCATCAGAGTTCGGACCGAGGTAGGCAGGATCGAGCCCACTCACCTGCTGCAGCTCCTCGCGGGAGACCGTGAGCGTCGGGTAGTACTTGACGACAGAGCCGGCCAGCTCGTTTGCCACGCTCTCGGGCTCGCGCGCCTCTGGCCCCCGGGTGTAGCCGCCGATCAGGTACGACATGAGCGAGTTGACTGGATGATAGGAGAGAGGCAGAGAGAGAGGAAAGAGGGTGGAGGCATCGGGGCCAACGCCAGCGAAGTGAGAAAGGTCCGTCAGTAGATAGTCCAAAGAGGAGGCGGCAGAGCTGTTGCTGTGTATCCTCGACGTGTATTCCGCGGCGTTCGACTCACGGTCGTAGGGAGGGGTGCTGGTGGAGCTGTAAGGGCAGCCGCCAACCGGGTCGTCGCCGGCGAGGACGGTGCAGACGCCCGAGGCGGAGCCACCGGATCCCCCGCCCGAACCGCCAGCCGAGCTCGACATGGACATCGAGGTGGGCGAAGGGGCGGCCGAGGAGGACGACATGCTCGACGAAGGGGCGGCCGAGCTCGACATGGAGCTGCTGGGAGCAGGGGCGCCCGAGGACGAGCTGTCCTGGGCGAAGGCGGCGCCGGCCAGGAAGGCGACGAGGGCGACGGGAGCAAAGGTGAATTTGACCATGTTGAGCGCGAGTTCGGAGCCAAGGGAGGGAAGAACGATGGTGATTGTAGTGTGAGGGAGAGCAGGAAGGAGGTGGCTGGGTCGAGGAGGACAGGAAAGGAGGCAGCGAACAGCGGATAGGTGGATGATGGAGGTCGTAGACAGAGAGCAGGGCAGAGGGGGCGGGCCGAGGGCAACCCTAGGCCTTGCCTGCCGGAGGTAGCCTGCCTCTAGCGAAGCGCCGGGCCAAGTGCACGACAGGCTAGGGATCGACGGCGTTCCGACCGCGTGTGCGGTCTTGGGTGCAAGACGGAGCCAACGGGCCTGCCGCCTCGAGCATCGCTCGCCCGCTTGCTCGCTCTCTCCATCTCTGAGCCCCTTCTGCGCTCCGCCTGACGAAAGAAGCCTGGCCGCCTCTCCTGCATCCTCGCTCGCCAGCTTGGCCCGCGAGGTGTGACCGCCCGCCCCATCGGCACCGCCTGGCCTGCCAGGCTACGGCTGCCTACAGAGAGGCATCGCGTCGCGAGCACCCTCGACCTGGCCAGACCGGGCCCGTCTCCACATCCTAGGCGCGGATGGAGCATCGTCAGGCTGCTGGTTGAACCGGCCACAACACACCCTCTGCCTGCCACGCCGACAGCAGGCGACGGACGGCGTTGAAGGCAGGCACGACGAAGCAAGCCAAGCTCGCAGCCTCATGACTGACCCTGCCTGCCTGAGCAGGAGAGGGCGGGCCGGTGCAGGGTAAACAACGCATCCGCCTGTCCTCAGCCTGCCCCGCCCCGCCTGGCTCGGATTTGCTATCGGTTGTAGTCGGCCCCAGGTCGCTTTTCGCGTGCCCTCCTGCCTTTTGTTTGCTCGTTTTGAATTGGATGCCGTTGCCGCCAGATAGAAAATGGACGCTGCTGGCCGGGCAGCCAGGCAGGCAGGCATGCGATCCCCGCGCCTCACACCGGCGCCCTGAAGTGCGCGACCGCAGGGTTACACCAACGTGCAGCCGGAATTTGGCGGGGTGCGCAAGCAGGCAGGCGCTAGGCAAGGCCAGGCCAGGCCAGGCAGGGGCCTCAGCGCGGGAACGCAGGCGGCAGCCAGAGGCCTGCGCTACGGCCCCGCGTGCCTGTAGGCTGGCCCTCTCGTGCGTACCCGATCGAAGCAGCGCAGCAGGCAGGCAGGCAGGCCGGCGCCGAGAGGTGGACACAAAGTCACCGAGGCTCTTGGGGCTGTCCGTGCCGCACGACAGATACCGCCTGTTCCAATCTGCTAAGCGCAGCGCTCGCAAGGCCACACAGATGTGGCCATCACAAGCCCAGACCACCGGAGTCAAGGATCGATGTACGCTGCTGTGGGATTGCTGCGCGCACTCGGCGTAGGTGGAAGTAGCCCTGGACTACCCGGCTATACTACAACAGGGAACGGAGAGGGGTAGGTGGGTGTGCGACGAGGACGGATAGCTCTGCAGAAGGATGGGGATGGTCGTGGTGCGGGTCTCAGATTACTGTACGGGTAGGCGGACGAGGAGGGGATGAACCTTGGCGAGCGGGTTGCTGTGTTGTTGCTTTTGAAGATGGATCGAAAAGGGAGTTGAATCGCGGTATCTGAGAAGTCGGTGTGAGGGGGGAGAGACCAGGACGAGCGGCGAGAGCGTTTACCAGCCGCGCTCAGCAAGGCGGCCGCCCTTCATGTCCTTGGTGATGTTGAGGCCGACCATGGCCTCTCCGAGGTTCTCCGAGACGGCGGCAATCTTGGCGGGGTCGTTGTAGTGGGTGACGGCCTCGACAATGGCGCGCGCACGCTCAGCAGGGTTGTTGCCCTTGCTGCGAGAGGCGCAACAGCGTATCGAGGCGGAGCGAAGCGGCGAGCATTCGTGCGCGTCAGTGACCGAGAACGCAGACAAGAGTGAGGCGTACATGGGCAAAGCCGGAGAAGACCAGACACTCACAAAATACCCGATCCAACGAAGACGCCGTCGCTGCCGAGCTGCATCATGAGCGCGGCATCGGCAGGAGTGGCGATACCACCGGCGGCGAAGTTGACGACAGGGAGGCGCTTCATCCTGGCGGTCTCCTTGAGCAGGTGGAAGGGAGCCTGTTGGTGCGCCGCAGGAGTGGGGAAAATGCAGCACGTCAGCACCAGCGCAAATCCGCCAGATTCCCCAGGTCCGTGAAAGTGCCCACCTGGATGTCCTTGGCGTAGGCGTAGAGCTCCTCGTCGCTCATGCTGGCGACCCTCTTGATCTCGCCCTGGATGGTGCGCTGGTGGCGGACGGCCTCGACAACGTTGCCGGTGCCGGCCTCGCCCTTGGTGCGGATCATCGCCGCGCCCTCCGAAATCCTTCGCAGCGCCTCGCCGAGGTTCTTGGCGCCGCAGACGAAGGGCACCTTGAAGTTGTGCTTGTTGATGTGGTGCTGGTCGTCGGCGGGCGTAAGCACCTCGGACTCATCGATGTAGTCCACGCCGATCGACTGGAGAACCTGGGCCTCGACAAAGTGACCGATCCTGACCTTGGCCATGCAGGGGACGGTCGTGGTCTCCTGAATCTCCTGTTGATCGGTGGAGCGGGGCGGACGCAGGATGCAAACGCTCGCAGGTGTCAGAAATGGGAGACTATCGAGTGTCAAGCGCGCCTTCGGAACAGCCAGGCGCACTCACCTTGATCATGGCAGGGTCGGACATGCGGGCGACACCGCCCTCGACGCGGATGTCGGCAGGGATCTTCTCGAGCGCCATGACGGCGCAGGCACCGGCGTCCTCGGCGATGCGGGCCTGCTCAGCGTTGACGACGTCCATGATGACACCGCCCTTGAGCATCTGTGCGAGACCGGACTTGACACCGAAGGTGCCGAGGTTGGCGTCGGTCTTGGTGGCGCCGTTGGCGCGGGCCGGGGCGGCGGCAGCGCCGTTGGTGGCGGCGGGCAGGATGGTGGGGTTCTCGGCGGACATGGTGATGCAAGGTTAGTTCTGGACGAGGTCGGACGAAGAGGAGTGATGGTGATGATGTGGGGGGAACGACAGGCGAACAGCTGTGTCGGGTCGATGGTTAAGTAGCGGCCGTGGCTCAGCCGTGCAGGCTGCTTGGTTGGGCAAGGGATGCTGACTTTCGGGCAGGAGGCAGCCGGAGGTTCTTCTCGGATGGCTCGCCGCCTGTCTCTCCCTTCTGCCTTCTGACTCGCCCGTTGCCCGAAGAAAGCTGCGCTGAAAACCGGTCAGGCAGGCGGGTGGCGGGTGCGGACGAGGCCCAGGCGGACGACGCGCACTGCGGCGCAACAGCCGAGGAAAGCTCAAAACCCAAAAGTTGAGCCTGGGCCAGGCTAGGCTAAGGGGACGTAGCGAGAGAGAGCCACCCGAGGCCAAGTGGGGGCACGAAATCGTCCGAAGCGGGCGCAGCAGCAGCGGCAGCGCCAAGCCCAAGCGGACCGCCAACCACGTACGACCCGGCGTACGAGCCTGGCCAGGCCACGCCCGTGCTCGCTCCAACGCAACTCGTTGGGGAGCCCTGCTCATGACTCGTCCCACGAGCTGGCTGACCCTGCCTGCCCTAGCTGCCGGTATCGTACCTCTGCCTGCGACAACGACGGAGCAAGCAGGCCAGCTGGTAGGAATTAGGGCTCCTCGCCGCCTGAAGCTTAGCTGAGCCGGCGTCGGTGGGGGCTGCTGATGTTGACTCGAAGCGCTTGTTTGCTTTGATTTCTGGACGAGCTCAGAGCGGGCAGTTAGAGATGGAGGGGACCGGGCCTGCTTACGATAACGTGGGCGACTCAGAGGTCGGCCGTTACATGCGACCGAAGGGTTTCCGAAGAAGTTGCCGTGCGTCCTTCCGACCCTAGGGTGGCACGCCATCTATCTCATTCGAGAGGCGTCGACGGCGGCCGGCTTTCCCCTCCTCGCTCTTCCCGGCGCACAATTGGCCTGAAAGAAAGCAAGGTTCATGCGACCATGCAGAAGCTCCTCACCCGCACCGCTCGCGAAGGGCTTTCCGAGCAGCTGGAGGGCGAAGACCGTCCCCCGACCTACGGTACTGTACTTCTCGAGGCCCCGCTGTTGACATATTTCTATCTTTCGTGAAGGTGGACGAGACCCATGCTGGACGACGGCTGGCTCGAGTTCCGGTGGGCGGTAGCATCGTCGTTCGGGGGCGTCCCGGGCGCAGAGGCGTGGCACGGCGTGGCACGGCTCCCTCTCGGCGCTCTGGTGGCAAAGCGAAAAGGAATCGGCTACATCGTGAGCCTCGGGCATCGGCCCCCGATGAAGCTCTTCCTTCCAGGGGCCCTAAGCCTTGTCGGCTCCGATGTCCTTTCGATCAGAGCGCCAGCTGCGCCCGGCTGCTACCGGGTCGGACGGCGGCCCGCTGGCTGGCCTGCTTTGAAATCCGAGACGAGAGCCGGCGTCCGCGCGCTCCCGAATTTCAGCTGGCCACGGGGCTTCTCGTGCGTTTCAGATGGCGGTCCAAGTCCAAATACAAGATGGATGACCAGCCATTACAACACTCGTAGGGGCGAATACAACCTCGACGGGCACGAATTCAAAGGCCCTCCTTGGCTGAGAAATCCGAACTTCCTTCTGGGACCTTGGTGTGGGCCAGCCAGCCCCCCCCCAGCCAGCCAGCCAGCCGGGCGCGCCTGGCCCGCCTTCTCGTCGCCGCCGCCGCCGCCGTCAGCAGCCACCGCAGGAAGAGGCCAGCGTGGGTCATCGATATCGCGCCAACGACCTTGACTCTCACCTTCACCTGCCTCCTCCACCCTCCCTGGTCAATCCCGTCATCCCTATACCACCCACCCTCGACAATCAGCCATGGCCGCTCCCGTCGCCCGCACCGCCTTCCGCAAGGCCATCAACCTTCCGTGGGTGTCACCTATTCCAGCCAGGAGCTGGCCGATTCCTCTGCCAGTTTGGTGGTTGAAGCTTTGTCGGGTGGCACGCACCGCCCTGAACTCTCAGCGCCTCGATACCGAACCCGGCTGAGAGCTGCACGGGAACGCTGCGTCCACCTCGCTGGCCATGTTGGATACCATACTGACGATCGTGCTTTGTCTTGACCCTCCTGGCTCTCCTCGAACTCTCTTCAATTCTCCCTGCTCGCACCCGACGCCCATCTGCGCACGCCTTCGCCCTCGTCCACTTGCGTTCCCGCCATCCTCGCCCTGCTTCTTCCCGACAATCTCCGACACGGCCATTTACGAACCCGGCTTCCTGCCCTCCCTCACGCTCTGGTCAACTGTGCGTACATACCACCACCCAGTCCTACGGCCGCTACTGCCTACAGCGGCACCCCCATCGCCGCCGGCATCAACCACGCCGCCCGCGCCCCTGCCGACCCCCATCATGCTGAGGGCTACGGTTCTTCTCCCCGATCCGATGTCACCCAGGTCCCGCGCTGGTCCTCGCGCCTCTCCACCAGCAATGGCGTTCTGAGCGCCCGATCGGGCATCAACAGTGAGTCTTCAGCGCGTCATCAACTCGGACGGGACAGGTCACAGCGCTTCCAGCAGCGGTCGGTGTCGGCTTGGCTCCGCGCCGAGCGTGAATGTCGCCCAGCCACACCCCGCATGTCGTCCGCGGCAGAAGGCTTCATAGAGGTGGCAACGTACCTGAGAAGCCCCATACGCTCGGGTACAGGCGCACACGACACTGCTTGTGCGATGCTGCTGTGGTCCGTCCGTTCGGCAGAGCACTGGAAGCTGCTATGGCTGCTTGTCGTCGCTGATTCAGTCGCTGACCTGTCTCCGTTGCTCCTCGACTCGCTTCCACTTCCTCGTACACCCCCTGCAGCCCTTCCCAGCGCCGGCTCGCCCCGCTTCTTCTCGTCGACGCCGCGCGAGCTGCAGGCCTCGCCCCGTGAGACGACCTCGGTCCCCGACTTCAGCGGCTACCGTGCCAAGAGCACCGACAAGGCCAAGACCTTCTCGTACTTCATGGTGGGCTCGATGGGCCTCATCGCCGCCTCGGGTGCCAAGTCGCTCGTCTCCGACTTCCTCGCCTCGATGGGCGCCTCGAGCGATGTCCTGGCGCTGGCCAAGGTCGAGGTCGACATGAACAGCATCCCGGAGGGCAAGAACGCCATCATCAAGTGGCGTGGCAAGCCCGTCTTTGTCCGCCACAGGACCAAGGAGGAGATTGACGAGGCCAACGCCGTCGACATCAGCAAGCTGCGCGACCCGCAGAAGGACTCGGACCGCGCCAAGCGCCCCGAGTGGCTCGTCATGCTCGGCGTCTGCACCCACCTGGGTTGCGTGCCGATCGGCGAGGCCGGCGACTACGGCGGATGGTACTGCCCCTGCCACGGTTCCCACTACGACATCAGCGGACGGGCGAGAAAGGGACCTGCGCCTCTCAACCTCGAGGTGCCAGAATACGACTTCAACGACGGCGAGAACAAGCTCATCATCGGTTGAGCGGACCTCTGCTTCCGATGCGGGCTTGCGATCCCGTTGGAGCCCTGCCGCGGACCAGTCCGGCCTCACAGGCAGCAGCACATTAGCTTCCGATCTGGGCCGAGTCTTTTCACAGTAGTCTGTAGCTTGCCGATCCCCGCCTTCATTTGCACGCACACGAGAGGAATCTCAGAGACGATGCCCTTTTGATAGATCGACCCACTCCCGCGCCTCGACCGTTGTGTGACGCAGAGTGTGTGATACGATGCTCGTCGACGTGAGGTTAGCAAGCAGCTGACGGGCGAACGCTGGCAGGCTAGGTCAGACCGTCGAGCTCATCCTCCAAGGGTGGTGTTGGGGACCCTGGGACGCGGGTCTGGGCCAGCCCAGGCGGCGTCGAAACCCGGCCGCCGGGCCCAAGCTTAAGGCAGGACAGAAGACCGAGCCCGAAATTCCAAGCGGGCGGTGGCACGGCCAGGCAGAGAGGGCGCCAGAGGGACCCGACGGCCTTCGCTGCACTTTCCACGCCTTTGCATTTCCTTCCTCACCCACCTCTTGCTCCGAGCCACCACCTCTTTCCGAAAGGGCCTCTTTGGCTGCTGGGAACGACACACCTCTCTGCGCCTCTGGCTGTCCCAGATCGACACAAGAGACCAACTCTTTCGTTGACCACGAGCACGAGCGAGCAGGGAGATAGCATCATGACTCGTGAGTCTCGGCTCCCCCCTCCACACTTCTTCCCACTTCACAACCCGGTCTGCCCCGGGGTCGACCACATGCTGAATCGCTTTGCTGACGAACCTGCTGCCCCTTCTCACAACGTTCGATGCTCGCACGACGCTCGCAGGCGGAAACCAGAGAGAGCTGGCTCGTGCCAAGAACCAGAAGAAGCTGGCCGAGCAGAACAAGGGAAAGACCAAGACGAGCGCCACCTCGCTCGCCGCCAAAAAGGAGGCCGATGCCGAGGCCCTCAGGCAGAAGATTGCTGTGAGTACCGACCATCTTTCACCCTTGCCCTGGTCGAGCGTCTCGACGTCGTCGTGCTGCCCTGACACCCACCCGCCCTCATCGCCCTGTCTTTCCGCTCGTACGCTCCACTAGGCGAAAGCGGCAAAGGCTGCCGAGGCTGGCGGAGGGTCAGGCAAATGAGCACGCGCACCGCACTCTCAAAGTTTGACCGCAGGCGCGGGCACGGGCACGGCCGTAGGCGTCGAGCGGCGCCTCGAGGCTCTCCGCGGCCAACGAGGGTCTCCAGACGATTCGCAGGCATGACGTGGCGGCATGCGAGCAGGGCCAGCCCTCCCGAGCTCAGTTGTGCACTCGGCCTCGACACTTCCCCCAAGCAGGAAGCTCGGCTCACTCGTATCAATCATAGCATCTAGCAAAAGCGCAGACCAGCCGACGAGATGTCGTCCCGGCGCGAGTGGACGCCCATCTCGTTGCGCCATCGGAGGCGATGCAGTTTTTCCATTCCATTGCAGCTTGGCTACGGGTCGCGAGGGCAGCGCCACCCGGGTCGGGGCCGTCATCGCGGTGCACTGCGGGCGGCCGCCGATCATTGCTGTCGGCCCTGCATCTTCATGGCGCTCTTCTTCTGCGCGCGCTTCTTCTCGAGCTCCTTGCGCCTCGCCTGCTCGGCGGGCGTCATGCGGTCGAACTTCTCCTTCTCGGCCTTCCTCTTGGCCTCCTCCTTTGCCTCCCTTTCGGCCTCGCGCTGCTCCTTGGTCGACTCCTCGAGCAGCTCCTTGTCCACCTCGGCGCGCGTCTTGCGGAACTTGGCCATGGCCTCGGTGCGGGGCTTGATGATTCCCTTATCGAGGCCGTCGACGATGTTGACGGCGACGTGCAGCAGCGCCAGCGACGCCTCGCACTGGGCGTCGGACTTGGGCATGCACAGCGTCAACACCAGCCTCGGCTCCCGCTGCTGGACGGCCACGGGGCCAGTGGGCCGCTCGGCGGGCTGGTCGCTGATCACCAAGCTCTCGAGCAGGTCGGCTGCCGACGTCTTTAGGGCGTCGGCCACGCCGATCTTCTGCCTCTGAGCCTGACCACGCGCGTCGGGCTCGCCGAGGTACTGGTCGGTGAGGTCGCTTGACTCGGTGAGAATGGCGAAGCGGTTGGGGATCCCGCGCGAGGTGACGGCCTGGTCGCCGTCGTTGATCTTGGTGAACGAGAGGTCGAAGCGGCCGGAGCGCGTGGCCTGGAGGGCAGTCTTGTCGACAAGGGCGAAGATGCCGTAGACGTTGTCGGCGGTCGTCGGCAGGGCGAAGGTGAGGGTGAGGAGGTCGCGGTGCGAGGGGACGAGGCTGGCGGTGGCGACGTCGAAGACAAAGCTGGTGAAGCGCTCGAGAGGGTCGTGTCGCGGCTTGAGCGTAAAGACGGCGCTAAGGCTTTGGCATCCGCGTCGGCCCGAGGCAAAGATGAGGGCATCGGATCCTCCGTTCCAGATGACCAGCCCGCGGCCCTTTGTGTCGTCCGCGACGCTGGCAAACTCGTTGGAGAGCAAGGGCATGGCCTTCTTGGCCCATCGCTCGGCCATCTGGCGGTTGCGAGCCTTGCCGGCGTAGTGGATCAGCAGAAAGAGGATGCAGACGCCGAGCACGCCGCCCTCGGTCGTGAAGAGCGCCGGCCTGAAGACGAGGCGCGAGGTGATGGGGATCTCGAAGCCGTCGTAGGGCTGCTGCGCCTGGTAGGCCGTCGCGCCCACCGGGCGGTTGGCGTTGGGAGAGCCGAGTCCTCCGGTCAGGAACTTGGGCAGCTCGAAAGCCGCGGCCGTGGCCGGGACGAGGAGAAGCGCGATCCACGCTGCGAAGAGGTAGCCCATCGGGGCCGACTTGGTGACTGCGTGCGCCATGATGGTGAGCTGAGAGCCTGCAAGAAGAGGAGGAGGACGGAGGAGGCGAGATGTCTACAGGGAGAGGGCGGAGGCGAAGGAGGGAGGGTAGACCTGGTCGTCGACTGTCCCCGCGTCGCCCGCCCAGGACCCCCGCGCCAGTTCGCCGCTCGTTTCTTCCCAGCCTCGTGGCTGGCTGGATGCGGACGACTTTGCGGCACTCGGCCTTGGCGCGAGGCCCGCCCGCGGGCAGGCCAGCAGACCTGGGCCGTTGGGCGCAGCGTGATCTGAGCGCGCGCGCCTCCACCCCTCCCTCTCGGCCGGCGACTGGGCAGGCAGGGTTGGTCTCGAGCCCCAACAGCAGCATCCCGTAGTCCTCGACGGTCCTAGGAAGCTGTCCCTTCTTGATGGCGTTTATGGCTGTGAAGGATGGCGGCGACGCCCGGGATGAGAGCTCGAGGCTCCGGGTCTGCAGGTCGCCAGCGGTGCGGCATCGAAAGAAGGCCCCCAGGCGAGCAAGCCCGGGGGCTCATGGGCGAGAAAGGGGGCAGCTAAAATCAGATGAAATCCCTCCGCCTCCAATCGTGACCCGTCGGGCGGGAGACACTTTGTCGTGAAGCAGCTACGCTCGCTCGTCCTTCGCGTCTCTGGGTCTTCGACAGGCAGGAGCGGTGCACAACCGCTTGACCTGGGACGAAGCAGCCATGCTGCGGTGCCATCTGGATGGCCGAGGAGAGGTGGACGGAGAGAGAGCAACACCGCACCGCGCCGGCCCATGCTATTTCACACTTTGGCAGGCGTGGCCCTGGCCTGGCCTGGCCTGGTCCTGCAGGCGAGAGAGGGACGCGTTCCAGCTGCATGGGCCACAGGAAGAGGACGCAGGTCGATCGACATCTCGATCCTCACCACAGCCATCACCCTCTCTATCCGCCTTGACACCAAAGCAGTCTCCGAGCGCAGCCGCAGCCAGCTTCGAGGCCGAGTGCCATTACCCAGCGGCGCCCGCGACAACGGCTCACCTCCGGCATCGACCCGACGTTGGCGCCAGGCAACACCAGCCTCCGAAAACGTAACGACCGCCAACGCAGCCCGGACTGGATCCGGCCTCGCTCACAAGCAGGCGGAAGATCCGATACTGCTGTAGCGACACGCTACCGCAAGCGCACGCACTCCTACACCTCAACTGTCCGCTCTCGACGCGAACTCAATGAGGGCCTAGCCGACCTCTGTGCGCCCCACCATACCATCGCCCGCACCAAACGACGCCGAGGGACAGTACGTCTAGACGGGCGCGGCTTCTCGGAATCTTCTACAGCTGCCCGCCATGCCTTCTCCTGGGACGCCCAATGCGGCGTCGCAGCCGATCCATCTCCACTCTCGATGTGTCATCAACAAGCTGGGCCGTGGCGAGGTCCTCTTCGTCGGCCAGACGTCGTTCGCGCCCGGGGTGTGGGTAGGTGTCCACCTCGACGAGGCCAACGGCAAGAACAATGGCTCCGTACAGGGCAAACGCTACTTTGAGTGCGACGAGGGCTATGGAGTCTTTGTGCGACCCACCCAAGTCCACGCCCTCACCGCCGAGGACGAGATGGAGGATGTGCACGACGACTATCTGGACGACGAGGCCGAACTGCTGGCGGCCGAACGCTCCCGGGCGGCCGCTGCCTCCCAGCGAGCGCCAGTTGCGAGGACCGCGAGCCCGCGCAAGAGCGCGGCAACTCCGGTGTCTGTGAGTGTCGCCGTGGTCCTGCTTGGACCGAGGATGTACCAACCTGGCCAGCGCTGACCGGCTCGTCTGCCTGGCCCCTCTGCTTTCACGACGCAGGCCACATCTCGAGCCTCATCAGTTGCAGCGACAGCCCGGAGTCGCCCGTCGGTCGGGGTGTCGGTGACGCCATCTGCAGCTGCCAGGCCTCGGATGTCTCTTGCCTCGTCAGCGTCGGCAGCACGGAAACCAGTCTCTCCGACGAAACCGGCTGTCGCCGCAGGATCTCGATCCCCCCTCAAGCCTGGCAGCTCCACGCCTTCGACCCGGCCTGGAACGGCGTCTGCGGCCTCGAGCCGCTCGGCCCTGAACAGCTCCGGCGTCAGCCGCACCGCCTCGCCCAACACACCAGTGACTTCGCGCGTCTCTCGGACCAGCACAGCCTCCGCGACGGGCAGGGTCTCGGCCGGTCCGAGCCGGCTAGGCCAGAGAGCCAGCCTCGCACCATCGACGGCCCCCCTGAAAGCTCAGACGCAAACTCCGACGGCGACGAGGTCGGCTGTGAGGCCAACGGCAGCGGCGCAGGCTTCCGCCACGCCGCTATCGCGCGCCTCCGCCGCGTCCATGGCGGGTTCGAGCCCATCGGCGGCTGCCGCTGC